CCCCTGCAACTGTAATTCGGAAGGAACTAATGAGGTGAGCTTGTATATATGGGACAATCCAGAATCTCTACAATATGCGTTCGGTCTCAGTCTTCATTGTGAACAGGAAAAAATACAAAGAAATAAAAAAAAATCTAGCTTTCAAAATGGGCATTGGGAATGATTGCCTAATTATGTTGTTTACTGACCTGAAAAATAACTTTACATGCATGCTCTTACATTTCCCTGTGCATTCAGAGCCTTTGAAACAGAACCAGTTAATACTAGAATCAGGATTTTAACAGCATTATTTATAAACCATTGCAATGCTTATTCAGAAAATTTTGACAATGTGGTGAACACCACAGTAGATTTTTAAATTTAATATAATTAGCTCTATATTTCTGTAGCTATTAATTGAAAAGTTAAGCAAATAAAGAGCATATGTCAACAAGTCTTGTTCTTTCACTAAATCATGGATATTTAAAAATAAGCTCACAGGGCTAATTTCAGTTTTCTAGTTCACAGGTTTATACCTGAGCGGACAAATGCCTGAAAAAGAGTGTAGTGTTTCTAAGGGATTAGAGTTTCAGCTCAATTGTTCAGCAGAATCCAAATGTTTGAACTGACAACTAATTAAAACTATGTTTCTCAAAAAATATGTTTGATGAAACCATAACATAAAGTTTCCCATGAAAAGTTACAAAACACAGGAAGTTATAATTTTGAGGTTTCTCTACATTGGGCATAAACACTACTGATGCCAGCCTGAGATCCTTTAAATGTTTTTTGACTCACAATAGACATCCCCCTCCCCCAGTCTCAAAGGTAGATTCTCTCTTTCACACACACACCCAAACATTACATCTACCAAATGTCCTCTCCAGTGGAAGAAGCTGTTCAGATCTTAAAGCTAGAAGTTTTGTGTTTTAATTCTGTCCAAAACGGGAAAAACACATCTTCAAAACTTCCATATTAAAATCTGGTTGCAGCAGGTGCAGTGTTTAAAAGTTCTAGAGCCCTTTCGCCTCTCTGCCGTACAGCATGATGACAGGAAAGGCATTTACAAAACAGCCCAAAGGAAAAGCTGACATAGCTTTTTAGATTATATCTCATTCTTCTTTCTTTTTTCTGTACAGCCTTTCTTTTATAGGACAGTTGAATCCCTAAATACTCCGCTGCTTTGCATTGTTAGGTCACCTCTTAGGTTAGCCCGAGAAAGCCTGAGAAAAGTTCCACAGGAAAGATGCACTATTTAACGGAATTCAATCTCTCCCAATAGATTTGAATCACTAACATAAATGTATGAATGTAGATTATATCTCTGTAATGAGGCCTGAATCATTCTCAGTTACTTCAAAGGACTGAAATTCTACCTTCCTTTTTTAGCAGCAATAATCAGGTCTTAATGGATTCCTTTATTAATTGTTCCTCTGCAGCGATTGAAAAGGACAGTACAAGCTTCAGATTAGAGTGGTACTAATTCTAAAAGGCTGTTTTTCTCTTTTTTCCAACCTGTGGAAGGCATGCTTTCCTTCTATGCTCTAAACATATCCAGCAATGTTAGGCTAAATCTTTATTAGGGGAAATAGATGTGGCCTTTTGTTAAATACGATGTCTTGAGAAATTATTGAGGCTTTTAAAAGCAAGAGCATGGCAGCAGTCATGAAAGAATCCTAAAATGTGGCTATTTAACTTCAGAGAAGCAGTTTGCATATGTGCCAGAACCTCCAGTAGCTACTCTGAACAGTTCACATTTTGAGTGTGTATTTCCTGGATTCTTTACGTTGCCTGGCACTATCTGTGGTTCAGTTACAAGATGCGTGTTCTATTATGTGTGATGTTATTGGCAGTGTCAGTAAGCTGCTTCAAGTAATACTAAGTCAGGTCAAAAGTCAGCCAGGCTCGTCTACAGAGTAGACATGTGCAGGCCTCATTTTTGAAGTCTGCGGTGCAGCCCTTATGAGGGTGTGTTCCAGCCCATTTTTTCTTTTGGATACAGACAGTGCCAGGTTTAAGACATTGTTGGTGTGTGCAGCTGGCGATGATGCTTTATAGTCGTGGTATTTGGGGAAAATAAAATAGTGGCGTCTTGTTTGTTTTTAACTAGGGCTTTCAAGCGAAAGGAAGAGAGGTCCTGCCTTACAGAGAGCAGCGCAGCACTGCAGGGCCGGTGGGAATCTGAACCATAACAGAATCCCGTGCATTCGTTTTACAGGTGAATAAATGGATGCCCACATCCCGCAGTGGTAGAACAGAGTCTGGAACTCAGGGGTGCTGGATTATAGAGTATGGGCCTCATTTCTGGGGGACACCTGTTTTGTCCGTTTTCCCTTTCCCCTGCTCTCTGCTCTTCTTATCACTGACCACTTATCACTCTAATGTCTGAGATGCCGGGGGCGGAGGGGGGCGTGATAAGAAGGGTT